GAGCAGGGGAGGGGCAGAGAGAGTGGGAGACACTGAATCTGAAGCAGGTTCCAGGCTCTGAGCTGTCAGCACAGAGCCCAATGCAGGGCTCAAACTCACGAACCATGAGATCACAACCTGAACCGAAGTTGGATGCTTAACCCACTGAGCCACCCGGGCGCCCCAAGGTGGTGAATGATTTAAAAGCTTATTTCTCATCTGACATGGAAAATGTGTGGCATAGGATTTATTAGTCCCATTTTCCAGATTTCCCAAAAAATAAAAAACAAAAAGGCAATTGCTAGGCCTGGTCTGGTCTAGATCCAAGAATAAAGAGTTTCCCCACTGGATATTTGGGGTCAGTCCAGAGTTAGCCCTACTTTTGGGTGAAGACCAAGCAGCTGGGCCAGTTCCGACATGGCGTGCCAAAAGGAGCGGCCCCACCCTCCCTCCACCCAACACGCCTGCTCACTCACTGCTGTTTCCCATCCCTCACAAAATGGAAGCCCTGGATTACCCAAGCAGAGCGCAGTTTCCACCTGGCGTGGGGACCGCGCCACTGACTTTGGCAGAGGGCTAGGAATGCAAACAGCTGGGTGGCTAACACAATTCTGGGGGAAAAAAACTTCAGCAGCTGGCAAGAGGCCTGACCTCTGGGGCTTACACAGCCTGCAATACACACACACACACACACACACACACACACACACACACGCACGCACACCCCTAGATGGAAGCCGAGAGAGACAAGAAAACCCAGGGGAAGGGTCCACTGCCTCCTTATTCCCTACAAGGCAAGCACAGAACCAAGACTGCACGCTAATGAGAGGAGGCAGTTATGGGCTCCCCAGGCGTGAGAGCCCAAGCATGCCTTGTGCCAGGGACTAAAACCAAAAGATGGCAGAGCCCCCCAGAATGGCAGCTGTGATGACTGTAGACCATGAACAGAGATGCTGGCTCCGGCCCTTGAAAATAAAAACCCACAGGGGCATCTGGGTGGCTCAGTGGGTTAAGCATCCAGCTTTGGCTCAGGTCATGATCTCACGGTTCCCGAGTTCAAGTCCCTAATCGGGCTTGCTGTTGTCAGCAGAGCCTGCTTGGGATTTTCTTTCTCTCTGCCCCTTCCCCGTGCTCTCTCTCTGTCTCTCTCTCTCTCGTGCACTTTCTCTCTCTCTCTCAAAAATAAACATTAAAAGAGAGAGAGAGAGAGAGAGAGAGA